TTGTATAACGTTGATCTCTCACCATCTCCCTGCCCTCATGCAGCCGCTTATCTTGTTGTATAACGTTGTTCTCTCACCATCTCCCTGCCCTCACGCAGCCACTTGTCTTGCTTCCCTCTCCTCTGCTGTGTCTTTACTAATTTGATCCATTATTCATGAATTGCTAGCGCAGCTTTTTTCTCTTGACTTTTGTACTCATATTTTAACAATATAAAACAATGTCTTTCTAACTAAAACATTCTAGATTGCAGTATTTCTTTGATAACTTTTCTTAGCTATTTAGTAGCATTGAAATTGTAGAGGCACAATTCCTAATTTAGCATTTTAAAAAATTTTTAGATATGACATGGAAATTGATAGAAGCAGAAGATCAGCTATAAAGAAGATAACGGAAAGGGATGATACAGCTGCAAAAACACTTGTCCTCTGTGTTTCTGACATTGTTTCATCCAACATGAATACATCTGAAACCTTTAGCAATAGAACTAGTAGTTCAAATACCAAGAAAGTGGCCATTATCGAACTTACAGATGGGTGGTATGCTGTCAAAGCTCAGCTAGACCCTCCTCTGTCTGCTCTCATAAAGAATGGGAGACTGGGTGTGGGTCAGAAGATCATTGTCCATGGAGCAGAACTGGTGGGCTCTCCAGAAGCCTGTTCACCTCTTGAAGCCCCAGATTCTCTTATGTTAAAGGTAAATTAAATTACTGCATTTCTACATAAGATTCAGTCACTGATTCACTTAAATTTTCTTAACCAGTTTTAAATTAAAATTTTAAATTTACTTATGTCATTAATGATAATTTGATGATCTTTATGTAAGAGGCAGATTATTCAGTTAGTGGTGTTTTGGGGGAGAATCTGCTGCTAACTGACTGAATCTAACAACTTTGAAAAATATTTTTTGCAGCTTGATGCATTGCCGCACAATATTTATATAATGATGCTCCTCAACATATTATAATACCTGTATGACCTTTATTTCCATCTCAGAGACCCCCTAGACCTTTCGACATTCCTGCTTCAGTTCTGAAAAGTGATTATTTTCTTTGTGTGCTCCATAGTTACCATTCTAGAAATCCTTCTGTGTTAGAAGCCCTTTTCCCTCATTTCATGTCATCTGTCTAGACTGATTCCTTATTCTAGGAGCTCATAACAGGCATTCCTCAGTCCTGGCAAATGAATTCAGGACCTTTGTCTTTTTTTTCTGAGGTAGGGTGTTGTAAGTCACTGAGTGACCCATGCTGGGCTTGAATTTATAGTCCTCTATTTAGCCTCATGGAGTGCTGGGATTCTAGGGGTGCACCACCACTCTCAGCTCAAAGGCTTCTCGACAAAGACAACATGAAACTCTTTCAGATCTTATGGTATGGTTGGCTGAATATAAAATCCTAGGTTGAAAATATTCCTTTAGCGTTTTGAAGACATTTTCCTTATTAGCTTCTTGCTTCTACAATAGCTGTTATTATTAGGATAGCATATAACTAAGTTAATTATGTTTTTATTTTCAATCTTTCATTATATGGGGTAATTTTAAGGTTGTTCTTCATTCCCAGCATTCTGAAATTTCAAAGTAAAGAACTGTATTGCTTTTTAAAAAATCATTTAAACATTGTCCTGAATACTCAGTGGCATACATTCTAGAAATTGTGACCTTCATTGAGTTCTGGGATATTTTCTTGAAATGGTTCTTTGATAATTTTTTCTTTTCTTCTAAATTATCTGATATTTGGGCACTAGCCCTCCTAGGTGGGAGGTCTAATTTTGTGGTCTTTTGCTCCCCGTTTTCTACAATAGTTTGTTTTTGTCTTCTAATCCTTAAAGTGAATTTGTCTACTTGCATATTTTTCGAGAGGCCTCCTTTTTTATTTTTTAAATATTTTGTTGTTGTTGCATTTGATTTTTGTTTTATGGATATAATATCTTTGCATCTTTCTAAGGCTACTGACTAATATCTTTTTTTTTTTCCTGCTCCCTGCATTTCTTTTCTCTGTGAGAACCTCTTTTTCTCTTTGAGTCTCTGGTGGAGGAGCCTTGCCTCAGCTGGTTACTGCTAGCTGATCATACCTCTTCCAGTGAGGACCACCGGTACACTGACTAGAGTTCTGTGAAAAGAGGCTTGTCACAGTGGTGAGGTGGGGATTTGGGTCTTTAATAGACCTTCACATGCTAGTGACCTTTCCCTGAGCTGAGCAGACTACAGAAACTACTTGGGAGCCTCATAATCATTTCCTGGGTACTTTTAATAAAACTTCCATCCCTTGGCGCCGGGGAGATGGCTCAGTAGAATAAGTGCTAGCCTGGCAAGTGTAAGGGCCTGAGTTCACTCTCAGTTCCACAAAAAAAAAACCCTTCAGTCCCTCTTTCCCACTGCCTCTGCCAAGCGTTCAGAGTGCAGAGTGTGTGTGGTTCAGCCTCTCCAGAAAGTAAAGCCTCCTTCATTCTTTTTTAAGGGGACAGAGGGATAGCCACCTGGCTGTTGGGATAGAAAAGGAAATCTGGGGTTTTAACTGTTTGTACAAACTTCTTTTCTATTTTTTACTTCATTTCTCCTATTTTCTATTCCACATTGTGTTCCTGCCACCAGAGATACCTCTAACTTCTGGGTGTTTCTTTCAGTTTTTTTTGTGTCATATTGGTTCCTTACAAATAGCTTGATGCCTGAGTTACCTTGGCCAGGTTATGTAATTTACCTTATACATTAGTTTTATTATCTGTAAATTGGGGATAAGTCTCAGGAGTGTTGTGCAAATTAAATGTTAATAGATAGCACTTAACACCATGCCCCAGCCTCTGAGTAAGTGCTCTGTGAATACTTGTCCTTTTTATTACTTAGCATCATTTTCAAACTACTCTATCATTTACTTTCCTGATGTAATTTTAGTTTCTAAACCGTTGGTGATACCGCATCTTTTCTTGCCAATTCTAGTTGTTTCCCTAGGTTTTAGAGGAAACCTGGAGAAATGAATATATTTTAATCCAATATGCTTAAATGGAAGTCCATTCATCTATTTTCTAATAGAAATACATATTGATAAATATTAAATAAATTATTTATTAATTGTTAATACATAATTAAGGCTTTATATTAGTACAAATATTTTTCAAGTACTATATTTTGGAAATACATTTACTTTTATACAGTTTTTTAGTCACTTTCCTACCAATCATTTTTTTTTTCCTACCAATCTTTATGAGATTCTTAGGTGCAAATAATTTTCATTAGAAAGAAAGCATAAAAACCCTAATGAAAACGTTAATAGAATTGAGTATGTATTTAACTTCTCAAGCATTGTATTCATTTGTGTGTCCAGATATCTGCTAACAGTACTCGACCTGCTCGCTGGTGCACCAAGCTGGGGTTCTTTCGCGACCCTCGGCCATTCCCTCTCCGCCTGCCATCACTGTTCAGTGATGGAGGAAAGGTTGGTTGTGCTGATGTCATTGTGCAGAGAGTATACCCTGTACAGGTATGACAGTCGTGAAACTTACTCTGTATTTTTTTCTTTTGATGCAAATAATTTCAGTGTTCCCTTCCTACTGTTTTATTAATATAACACATTTTATAGTGGATGGAGAAGACATCATCCGGATTATACATATTTCGCAATGAAAGAGAAGAAGAAAAGGAAGCAGCAAAACATGCAGAGATCCAACAGAAGAAACTGGAAATCTTATTCACTAAAATTCAAGCAGAGTTTGAAGAGGATGAAGGTAAAATTAGTTAATTGTATATTAAGATTAATTATTTTTCATAGGAGAACAAAGTTTTAGAGGCTTCAAAGTTGTCTTGGAGTAATAAATACTTTTTAAAATTGTGTGAGTCTTGATTTTTTTTTAATTTTATTACACAGATACCCAAATAAATATTTAACTTACCCTAAATTATCATTGCCTTTTTTTCAAAGCACTGAGCATTTATATAATTTGTAATTGGCTTGAGCAGTAAAATATGACATACTCTCAGCATTTTTCAGGTTACATCTGGAATTAGGATTTATTGTCACTATGGCATCATTGTTTATAGTAAAAATCATAGTGTCTTTAAGTTAAAATGACATAGTTATATTTTTTCTATCTTCATTATTGTTGAAGATATGATGTTTCCATGTATTTTTGTCATGATTTTGTATATTATTTAAGTTCATAATATTTATAAATCTTAGAGAGATTGGACTTCCAAAATTATCACCAGCTCAGCCTAAGATGTTGCACACATCTATAATATCAGGACTCTAGGAAGCTGAGGCAGGAGGTTCACAAGTTCAACCTGAAAAACGTAGTGAGACCCTGTCTTAAAATAACGCAATATGAGTACCCTAAGTTCAATCCTCAGTACCACAGAAACAAAACAAAACACCACTGGCTCATACCATTTTCATAAATAAGTAAATAATAGAAGCCATTTACTTAATTCACAAGTTACTACTTTAAGTCTATATGACTTTTTTTTTTTTTTTTCTTTTTCTTTTTGTGGTACCAGGGATTGAACTCAGGACCTTGTACTTGCCAGGTAGGCACTTATGCCACTGAGCTATCTCCCCAGCCTGTGACATTTAAAAAAAAATAAAAACATTAGTTTACTGGTTTCAAATTTTTCAAGAAAACTTAGCAGGTACATTTTTTAAGAATTGATCTTCCCTCGTTAGGTGACATTTGCTTAGTTCTGTAGTTTTTGTTACATTTTTGGTTTAAATAATTAATGTTTCTTTTTTTTTCTTAGCAAATACAGCAAAATGGTGTGCATCATCACCTGCTCTAAAGAGACAGCAAGTGTGTGCTCTGCAGGATGGGGCAGAGCTTTATGAAGCGGTGAGACATGCACCAGACCCAGATTACCTAGAGGTGAGGGGATGGTGGGGCAGATGACTAGCCCTGCCTCTTCTTGGAAGATAGGAATGCTGTATCTTCTACAGGGGATGAGTACCATTCTGGAAGTTTCAAGAACTTCATATATTAAATAAATGTGCTTTAATTATTTTTTTTTAATTTTTTATTTATTTGTGTGTGTGTGTGTATGTGTGTGTGTGTGTCCAGCTCAGCCCACCAGGGGGCGGGGCGGGCTGGCACATGGTGCTGGGGGATTGAACTGCGGTCCCTGTGCTTTGCTAAGCTTGTTCTAAGTAGGTGCTTTTAGACCACTGAGCCATCTCACCAGCCCCAATAAATGTACTTTAAAATGCTGGCAAAACTTGTTGATTTTAAAGTAAAACAAGTAACTTCAAACAATGTCAAAATTTCCATATCTCTAGCTCTTTTTCAAGTCCTACCAAATTTATTTCATAAATATCTACCTAAAGGATGCTAGGAAAAGAAAATTTTAGAAGCACTAAACCATGTTAGAAATTGTAGAGCCTTTAGAATCATGGCTTTATCATTTGCTAGCTAAGCACATTGGGAATACAATAGCTATGTATAGCTTATTTTAATATCAACTTCTGTAGTGTATATAAAATATATAAAGCACTAATTACTATTATCAAAATATTCCATTAACTTAAATTTTTGACTCTTAAATATCTAAATTAATACAAATTCTAAGATTACTTTGTTGGAAGGGGGGAATATTTTAGGGAAACTACTGGTTGTTTATTGCATTCATTTTTTATTTACTTAATAACTTAATATAGTTCTAACTTTCTAAATAGCACCACTACAAAATAAACCATATTCCATCATAATGTGAACAGTACTTTTTTGAGTAATCTGAGCAGAATTCCTTCATGTTCTCAGATGTTACAGTTTGGGCTCTTCAGAGAATTGAGTCTAGTTTTAAATCCTCTGAGTATTGCTGCAAGTCTCTAAATCAAGGCTTTTTTTGTTGATGCTTATGGATTCTCTGAGTTACCATAAAGATAGTTTTAGTTTCACCTACAAAATTTTATAAAATATTTATCTGGCTGATCCTCTTTTACAGAATTTACTGATCTCTCAGGTTCTCATTTCTACCTTCTGTTTAATAAAAAACCTAAAAGTGGCTTTTCTGTAGAGCTTTAAGGATTTAATTGTATGACAGTTGAATTAGACAGTGTTATTATTGTAGTGCTTAGAGGAGAAAATAGCCATTAATTCCTTAAAAATCTGCTCGGCATGGTTGCACAAAGCTGTAATCCCAGCACTGTCAAAGACTAAGGCAGAAAGATGATGAGTTTAAACTTGGCCTGGCCAACTTGGCAAGATTGTTTCTCAAATTAATAAATAAAGGGGTTGGGGATGCAGCTCAGTGTGAAGGCCCTGGGTTTAATCCCTGGTAGTATAGCAAAAATAAAGAAAAAAATAGCCTTGTTTAAAAAATATATATATATTCAAACTAACAGTGCTGTAACTCTTCTGTTTGTTTGTTTGAGGAGACAGGGTCTTGCTCTTGTCATTTGGGTTAGCCTTGAGCTCACTATGTAGCCACTACACCAGGCCTGTATTGTAGGCCTTTGAAATGTAGGGTTTTTGTTTTGTTTTTTTAATTTGGGACAAGGTGTACAGGGTCTCACTACATAGATTGGACTAGTAGTGATCCTCCTGTTTTTCAGCCTCCCAAGCGCTGGGATTACAGGCACGCACCACCATGCCCAGTCTCAATTGCTGCCACAGCACCTCTGGGGGCAGGGCCAGCGCAGCACATCGGGGATCGAATCCCAGTCACTATGCTCGGCCGAAGCAGGCGCTTTAGTCCCCTGAGCCATCTGGCTGGCCCTAATGAAGGGTTTTTTAAAAAATGTGTGTATATAGTGAAGGTTATCAATGTATTTAGAATGACCTTTAGTGATATAAAGATTTTATAGCCTCTTCCAGATATTAAACTGGTGAATGTCATTTGTTTTTTTTTCCCCCCAGTAAGATTGAACTCAGGACCTTGCACTTGCCGGGCAGGCACTTATTCTACTGAGCCATCTCCCTGACCCTAAAACTGGAGAGGGTGTTTTTGTTGTTGTTTTTTTTTTTTTTTTTTTTTTTTTTTTTTTTTGGTAGCCCAGGCTGCCTTAAGGGCAGGTCTGCTGAGGTTGTGGAGCTGGGGATTGAACTACAGTCCCCTGCACCTGACTGACTCTGTCCGACAAGGCACTTGAAACAACTGAGCAAACCCACAAGCCACCTAGATGTTAAACTGTATATAACACCAGGCTAGTGTGTTACATATCTAGATTCCATTTCATATTATATTTTATTATTTGTTCATTTTCACTATATTGAGTAAAATTCCTAAGAGGTCCTGTTAGGAATTTGTGAGAGCAACTTGAGAAAAATTTGAGGCAAAAAGATGAAAGTGTCTGTATTACACATCTGTCTTCAGTCATATCTACTATTCCACAGAGTTCATGCAATTATCCTTTAGAATGAGACCTTCTCCAGTGTGGCTGTGCAGTATTGCTGTCCCTGTGCCTCAGTTTCATCAGCTGTGAAATGTGATAGTGCCTATCTCAGAGAGCTGTTGTGAGGATTAAATGAATCAGTAGTTTCCACACACAGATCCATGCCTCAGATATTGTAGTTAGCCATTAATAATGCGGATGGTGGCAGTTGATTAAAGTACACTTATAATTGGGGGATTTCTCCCCAAGGGAAATTAATTTTTCAGAAGAATTAATAAACAGTTTGAAGCTCTTGAGAATATTACATGATAAACTGAGTACATTAATCTCTGCCTTTAAAGTGAACTCAAAGGGCCGGCCAAATAGCTCAGCAGCAGCGAATTAAAGTGCCTGTAAGCAGGCATAGGGGCTGGGGGTTCAATCCCCAGGCCTGCTGTGCTAGCCCTGCCCCTGGGGCACACTGAGACTGCAGTTGAGACGGCATGGTGCTGTGTGCCTGTAATCCCAGCTCTTGGGAGACTAAGCAGGCAGATCACTACGAGTCCAATCTAGTAGTGAGACCCTGAACACCCTGTAGACCCTTCCCTAAAAATACAAAAAAAAAAAAAAAAAGTGAACTCATATCTGCTGTATTATATTCCTAATTAAAGCAACCTAGTAATAATAGATGGACTTTCTGTTTTGTTTTTTCTTTCACTATTTTAAATGGTCACAGGGTTGTTTCAGTGAAGAGCAGATAAGAGTGTTGAACAATTACCGACAGATGTTGAATGACAAGAGACAGGCGCAGATCCAGGTGGAGTTCAGGAAGGCCATGGAATCTGCTGAGCAGGAGGACCTGGGCCTATCAAGGGACGTCACAACTGTGTGGAAGTTGCGTGTTGTAAGCTATGAGAGGACAGAAAGTTATTCAGGTTTGTATGCAAATGTTTTATCAGTATTTTTTAAAATGAAATTAATTTTAAAAGGTTACAGTTAGTAAGTAAAGTATAATGTATATCAGAGGGACAAAATGGGCACCACTGCTCACAGTCATAACAAAATCCTTCCATTTTTATTGTTGTCTGTGCTTATTTTTAAGAGTTGCAATGATTACCAGTTCTTCCTGCTGTTATCTTCCATTTCTTTCTCTAAACAGTTATATTGAATATATGGCGACCATCATCAGATTTATATTCACTCTTAACAGAGGGAAGGAGATACAGAATTTATCATCTTGCAGCGTCACAATCTAAAAGCAAATCTGAAAAAGCCAGTATACAGTTAACAGCAACAAAAAAAACTCAATATCAACAATTAACGGTACAAAACTTTTATTATATTTCAATTTAATGAGTAAATTTTATTTCATACTTTGTATATACTGATTTTTGTTTTCTGTAGGCTTCAGATGAAATATTATCCCAAGTCTATCACCCAAGGGAGGCCCTTTGCTTCAACAGACTGTTAGATCCAGACTTTCAGCCGTCTTGTTCTGAGGTGGACCTCATTGGATTTGTAATTTCTGTTGTGAAAAAAAAAGGTAACTCACAGAGCATTTCAGTGTAGCTTCTTACAGAATTATATGAAAAGCACTCTTATAAACTGTTCCTAGTGATTAGAGCAGCCAGTTATCACTCACTGTGTAGTTCATATTGGCCTTGGACTCACTCAGCATGTAGCCCTAGGCTTGCCTCAAACTCACAGTGTTCCTCCTGCCTCAGCCTCTTGAATGCTGGGATAACAGACATGCATTACCCCACCTGGCTATGCTATTTAATTTTTTAAAATGTTTGCAGCAGACTAGTAATTGCTATCAAATAATTATAATCTCAGTAAACTGAGCATTCAGACTTCTAACTTATTCAGCTTTTACATTTTTGCCTTTATCTGATTGCTTCCATTTCTTTTTTTCTATCTTCATTCACTAGGATTATATCCAGCCTTTATGTCCTTTATTCACCCTATTTGTCTGTCTTTTTTTCTTATATTTATTTGTTTGTTTGTATTTCAGGGAATACAGGTGTTCAGAGTCTCACAACTAGATCAGACTTGTAGTGATCCATCTGTTTACAGCCTCCCAAGAGCTGGCATTATAGGTGTGCGCCACCACACCCAGTCTCAGTTGCCATCTCAGCAGGCCAGGGGCCAGCACAGCAGGCCCCGGGGATCAAACCCCCAGCCCCTGTGCCTGCTTGCAGGTGCTTTAATCCACTGAGCTATTTGGCCTGCCCTTGTCTGTGTCTTTTTCCTTGTTAAATTTCCCTTATATCTGTCCCACTGTGAAGATGTGTTTTTGTGTTTCTTTGGCCCTGTATTCTCCTTTGTTTCATCTTGTAGAACTACTTACCATCTCTTGTTCAACTTTTTATTGACTGTGTGCTCTTAAGTTCAGTAGCTCGAATCAGCTGTGAAGAATTTAGAAGTTTTCTATTAACTTTTGTTTTCTTAGGGGTTGCACTCTGTCTTTATCAATGTCTTTCCATCCCGCCCCCAGGCTCACCACAGAGGACACCTCTGGGCTGCCATAGGTGCTTTGTTTTCTTCATGTGTTTTGTTTAGTTAGTTGCGTTTTGCTGCTGTAAGGATTTTTTTTTTTTCTTATACCGCTACATTGTTGTCATATCAATTCATTTTTTTAGTTTTTGACAGTTTATTTTATTTTATTTTTTTCCATAATTTTATTGAGAAACAAATAGCAATGAGATAGTTTCAAACCAAATTGGCAGGACAGTTTCAATAATTAACACATTACATACATTCTTCCTAGTGGTTAATTGCTGTACAAGATGTAGACTTGATATCCTATTTACAAACACCATTAGAGCAAATCCCTCTATTCATTAAGAGAATGTAACTATATATCTATCCTAACCACTTTGAATACACAGATACAAAATGGACATTCATCTGTATCCCCTTTTTTTGTTAAGTTGCATCATTTTAAATATAGGTGTGTAAACTCAGCAAAATATTCTAAAAGAGTTCAGTAGTTCATAATAGTATTGGGTCTTCCGCTTGACTGGCAATGTCAGAAAATGTTGACCTGAGTCCCCTATAGCTCAACATAACACCATGGCTTTACTTCTTTTTTTTTTTTTTTTTTTTTTTTTTAAACCCATTTTTTTTAACATTTATTTAGTGTGTGTGTGTGTGTGTGTGTGTGTGTGTGTGTGTGTGTGGCCAGCTCAGCCCACCAGGGGGCGGGGCTGGCTGGCATGTGGTGCTGGGGGATCGAACCGCGGTCCCTGTGCTTTGCCAAGCTTGTTCCAAGTAGGTGCTTTAGACCACTGAGCCATCTCGCCAGCCCATGGCTTTATTTCTTATACTTCGTTTTTATACTTTTCTGCTGGATGGTAAAGCAGGTAAAGCAGGACCTATGCAGCAAGAGTTGTAGCTTTTGGGTCTGATAAGGTCGATGAAATCCCCTCAGGATTTATCTTGAGATCCTGTACCTCAGATTGTAGAACCTTTGTCAGTGTCAGCCATGTGGATGAGTCACAGCCATTACTTGGTCAATGTGCTCTCTGTGAAAGCCTGAGTACTTTCATCTTGATCATGCTGTGCCTCCCCCCGTACATCTTGGTGGTGTTACAGGGTGAGTAGCTTTGATTCATTATTCAGTCAGTACTTACTGAATGACTGTTATGTGCCAGGCACTGTTCTACTCCTGGGTGCATAAGCAGTGAGCACACAGACAAGAGTTCCTATCAGGGAGCTGGCATTATGGCATATGGTGAGAGACTACCGCAAACCAAGTAAGTAACATCTGTACTTTCCTTTGTGATCAATAAGGGAAAAAATAAAGTAGAGAAAAAGAGTTGGTGTCAGAGGAAAGAAAATGTAACGTTAGCAGAGAGAGCAGGAAAGAGTTCATGAGAGTTTTATATTTTCATGTAAGTTCAAGGAAGTGAGGGATGGGGCCTGTGGCACCTGGGAGAGAACATCCACACAATTGCAAAGGCCACGGCGTAACAGTGCCTACTGCCAGTATCGGTCAGAAGAGAGGCTGTGAAGGACCAGGCCATATGGAGGTCCTTGTTAGACTTTAACTGTTACTGTGAGAGTGAAAAGGAGCCACAGGAAGTTTCAAGTAGCAAAGGAACAGGGTCTGAGAGATTTTCACAGGATCACTTAGACTGCTAGGTAAAGAAAATCCTGTAGGAAAGGTGAAGGTGCAAAGAAGGAAACCAGTGGGAGACTGTTATAAGAGGTTATATAAGAGATGGTAATTACCCAGACAAAAGCAGTAGGTGTGGCACGAAGCAATACAATTATGGTTACATTTTGAAGGTAGAAGGACAGCGCATGATGGTCTCAGCAGCTGCAAAAATGGAGTTGTCATTTACTGAGAAGGAAAGACTATCAAAAAAGATTTGTGGAGAAAGTCAGGAACTGTTTTAGGTACTGTTTTTGCGTGCTTATTAGGCATCTAAGTAGAGGTGTCTACCTGATGGTTGAGTAGGAATTTGTTTGGGGAATGGTCTGAGGTAGAGAAACACTTGGAAGTCGTAACATACAGGTGATATTTGAAGCCGTGGGCTGAATGAGGTCACTTTTACTGTGGGAGGAGAGCAGAGCACTAAAGCCTGATTTGAGCAATGTAGAGCCTTAGGTAGCATGAGAGATGAGCAAAAATAGGTAAAATATTTGGGTGTAGATGCAAGTGGAAGAGTTGATGGAAAGGGGACATTTTGGCAGACTTCCGTTTGCTTATTGCCTCAGTGAAGCAGGGAGCAGAGACAACTCAAGAATGTAGGAAAGACTAGTGTAGGTTTCATAATAAAGGAAATATAGTCCTTGCCCCAAGAAGTAGCAGAGTGACTGTTCCAGCTGCATATACCGTGACTGCCCTGGCTCACTAGGGGTTGATATTCGTAAATGTGTGGTTGTTATGGTTTGTGTATAGGTGTCCCCCCAAAGCCTCATACAGTCATTGCGTAGCTTCTGGAGTGTGTGATTGATTACTGTGGGTGTGGATGCTGCACCTGCCCTGGGGCAGGTAGTTTGCATTACAGTGTAAGGTGGAAAGAGAAGCTAGTGGCTTGAGCTGCTGCCGCTCCTCCTTTTGTGCTCTTGCTCTTTGCTACCGCCAGGAAAGGTTGCTTTCTGCTGTGTGCCTTGCTGCCTTGGAGCCAGCTGAATATGGACTGAAACCTCCAGTAACTGTGAGCTAAATAAACCTTTCCTTCCTTCATTTTGGGTGTCGGGTATTTGTCCCAGCAATGAGAGAAGAGTAGCAAAGACAGTGGTGCTTTTCTAGCTACATTAACTTGCAGTTAAGAAGGGTTGTAGTTTAGCATAGTGAGTAAGTAACACAAACAAGAAAAGTGAACAGTGAATGATGAGCTAAAATCAAGAATGAAATGAGTGCCCAGGGATGTGCAGGATTCGAAGTTGACTCTCTCTAGGGTGAGTGAGCAACACCAAGAGCAAGGACACCTACCCTACCCCAGAGATCAGTAGTGAGAGATCTGTGGGGACAGCTGTGCCACCAGATGAGAGCCTGGCCTCCATTTCAGCAAAGCAAGTAAGAGCAGCTACTGGCAAGGTCAGGGGTAGGGGAGGTGCACTGAACCCAGAGGGCCCAGCTGAAGATTCCTGGAGGCGGGAGATGGGTGCTGGTGTGGGGAGTGGCTGTGTGGCAGCTCCCTGGAGAGCACCTCAAGGGATATGAGGTCAGTGAGAGCCTGGGTTTTTGTAGAGGCTCACTTGAGCTTAGGTCCATGGTCCTGAAGCAGGTGGTATGAAGCGAGGGGAGAGAAGAGAAAGAGGAGCCCTGCCACAACCCATGTGATTCTTGGCTACTTTCGTTTTTACTTAAGAAATACCTGTATATTTCCTCTTCAATTATAGTACAGGCCCGTTTGCATCCACTCTATTCCTTATCCACAGAGGACATTGTCTTAAAGTTTGAGATGATTTTCCCCACTTCAGCAAGTAACCCAGTGTACTAATTGAAATGCTAGAACATTCCTCATTTGCAGTTTTTTACTTCCTTTTTTTAACAAATGTAATTTGATGTTACATGATAAAGAAAAGAAAATATATTAGGAAGTTTCCAAGTGTCATCATACAGGGTTGGGGATATAGTGCAGTGGCACAGTGCCTGCCTGGCAAGTACAAAGTCCTGAGTTTGATTCCTGGTACCAAAGAAAAGAAGTAGCACCTTACACTGGATAGTCACCCAGGTCTAATCAAGATGCTTCTTGGTTTAAAATCTTCGGTGGATTCTGTGCCCTAAAAAACTCTCCAACCTTCTTTGTTACTTAAATACCACCCCTCAGATGAAATGTACAATTTTACATTCCTGACACAGTGTGACATTTAACCCATTCTACCTTTAAAGTGTTCTTCAGTAGCTTAGAATACCTTTTTGTTCTCTCCCTCTTGTGAAACATTTTCCCCACCTTTTATTCACCTCAAACCTCACTCCCTGGCAGAATAATATAGCCTGATTGCAGTTTATGTTTGGCTGTTTCAGCACTTACCATGTGGTTCATGGTCCAACCTCTTCACTTCTCAATCTCCCATCATCAAAAA